AAAAAAAAAAAAAGAAAAAAAAGAGAACAGAAAAAAAACACCCCAGCACAAAAAGCACCTAACTGTCAATACACCATAGAAACACAAGACGGGCAACAGGGGTGGGTAAGGGTAAGAGACAGCCAGTGTAGACAGTGCATCCGGTCCTGCAGCATGTCTGCACTGGTCCAGTTGACCCGCCATCTGCCCCGGGAGGGAACCAAAGCATGGGAGGAGGCGTTAGATTCGGGGGAGTGGGGGTGATAGTGAGGGTGTATCAATATCAGTGTACATGTTTTGTGCGTGTGCGTGTATCCCATGCTCAGCTGAGAGAAAGTGTCACCACGCCCGGTTAAGCGAAGGTCAACAGTCTCCAGTGGACCCAGGTGGCCTTGAAGGAGGTACAAAGAGTTCTGACAACAATCCTGTTATCATGGAGAATTTTGTTGTTCTAGTCAGCTTCGACCATGGCAAGCCTTCAGCTGGCGCCACTGGGATAGTTGCATGAGCGAAGATGGTGAATGTTTGGGTTTAGTGCGAACAACTGCATCCAATTTTTTACAGTTGGTCTAATGTCCATCACTGGTCCCCAATTCTCTCAATTCCCATTGTTCTTCTCCAAGATCTTATCCATATTGCATTCAAAACACAGTCTGAGTACTCACAGCCCTGCCAATCGTCTATCATGTCGGCCAGCCTTATGGGATTTTGAACAGCTGTAGCCGCTTCTTGTTCTTCAATAAGCCAGGTCCGAGCTAGCTCCAGTCAGCCAGAAATCTGTTATTGTGGTTCCGCATTGGTAGATGTCCTCCATCGAAAGTGTCACCAGACACACGACGCAACCGACCATTGAGTATCCGGCAGCAAACGTGTCTGCAGGACAATCGGACTCTCCCAAGCCCAGGAGAGTGTCAATTCTGTTACGGGACCAGTTGATCAAATCCATAATTATTTAGATTTTAGAGAACAACACTGAGAAACTCCTTTAGGGATATAGTTAGACTGGAACCCATCGCCAGATCGTCCTGTCTCAGGAAAACCAGGGCCATCACATATGTCCCGTTACATCCCGCCCATCACCTGTTTGACCCACTGGCCTTTGGTCAGCGCTTCCAGACTCACAAACAGCTTCTTCCCCTGGCCCATTCGGACTGTAAACAACACTACTAAAGAAAACTTCACAGAGCAAAGCATAACATTCAACTACTCGTTAGCCTCAAGACAAAAACAAAAAACATAACAAGTAATTTACAAAAACAAATTAATGGAAAGGCTGATCAATTCTAAAACAACATTCTTTGAACACATGAAAGTCAGATCAACCTCCAAGATAATGGATGGAAGAACAAAAGATGGAGCGGACACCTCTAAATGTCAAAAATGACACCACAACAGAACTGTCAGAGCAGGGCGATATGGCCAAAAATATTTATCACGATATATATTTGACAATTTGCGATAACGATATAACTGACAATATAATTGATGCGAGACAAAATACAACTCCACAACTTTACTAGCGCAAAAAAAACCCCATCCATTTATTTTCACTTAAACAAGCAGCTGTTTTTTTTATGTGCATTAAAGCTATATAAAAATTTAACAGTGAAAATGCATATTCCTTGCTGAAAGTTTAACCAAAAGGCATTTCCAGTAGAAATGGGCTGACATATCCTGAGCATAACCAT